GCTACTAGTAGCTCTTGGCCTTACTACTAGGAGCAAGAAGCTACTAGTAGCAGCACGGCATAGTTTATCTTCTTTAAATTAGATTTCCGCCTGCCGGCCCTGCCGGGATTTACCGGGGCGTGCGCCAAGAAGCATTTCAACTGTTCAAGCGCTAGCTCTGCCTCAATTGCTGCCTCACCTTTGGTGGCATACGCTTGAGGCCTTCTGCATCCTCGAACAGCAGGGCGGCCAGTGTAGAGTCTCACTAGAGCAAACTCGCACCAACACTTTTTTGTTTTTCCTTTAAAAGCATCATCTTGCTTCCACAGCACAAAGGACACTTATGATCTGTCTGGTTGCTTCTTTTGCGTTCCGTCGAAGGAAGGTCCTCCTGGTCCTGAAACCATCGTTCCATAAAGTCCAGCGCCTATCGCAAAGCAGCAGCACGCATAGGAAAACTGTTTTTTGGCCCGCTCCCACTTAATTAAGCAGGCGCCTACTTAATTAAGTAAGGAGGGAAGCTACTAGGCTGAGATAGCTCACGCTAATGATTTGGTTCCTAGATTCTTTGGGAAACTTAACTTCAAAGAAAGCGCTTCTCTCTGGCCTGATAGTCAGACCTAATGTTCCTGTCAAAAAAGAAGCTCTGCGGCGTCTGAGACCTGCCAAGGGAGCAAAGAAAACAGATTGAGACGTGAATGCGCTTGAACAGCTTGCACCCACCTTCGGGCCTTTGCTGGTAGAGCAAACAGGGGTGAAGTCAAGCAGCCCAGTGCGAGGCTGAGGCAGCTTGTCCTGAGAACAAGTCATCCATAGTCATCGTAGTTTGAGCTTCAGCAGGCTTGTCAGGAAAATCTGAGTTTGCCAAAAATGCCAGGCAGTTCATGTCACGTTCTGTCCGCTGCTCCTTTCTAAATGGCGCCAAATGCAGGAAATCTGGTCTGTACACATCTGCAGGCAGCACATTGCATTATCAAGTCAAACCTGGTGACCGGAGTGCGCTGGTCTGTTCGCAGCGCCTCGGATTAGTCCATGGTTTGAGGACTTAGACACAATTGTGTCTGGAGTCTGATATGAAAGCCGTAATCCAATCTTCTCCGCCGTCCTTGGATCTTTGATAAGGACTTCGAAGCCGGTGCAAAACATCAAATCACCTTCACCAGGCTAATACTTTCCAACATCCACAAAATATAGCCTCACCACAAGAACATTGCACAAATCAAGCGATCTTCGTTTGATCTGCTAAAGCGTGCAACTTGCCCCTTTGAGGCAAGTTGAAAAAATATTACTTTGCCAAAACACAAAACCTGCGAATTGCAGCCATATTAGAACAAGAGCTTCAAGATGCTCTGGCCGCTAGCGCTTCTTTTCAGCAGATAGCGGTGGTAGGTGCAAGTCTTTGGACATCGCGCTTGTGCCGCTTGCCTGCGCCTGCCATTGATATACACCCCCCTGAAGTCAGTATGAAAGTGGAAGAAACATCTGTTCGTAAATGGTCATCCTAGGGGCCATTTTCCACTTCCATGAATATTCCAACGAGTGTGCAATCCAAAGCTTGCCCATTCACCGAATTCACCTGACACCCAATCCACGTGCCTTGCTCTTTTTTGCTTTCAGCTTGCTCTCCGACTCATTGACCTCCTTTTCTCTGGTCTTAGAGTGAACCAGCAAGGTTTAGTGACAGTCTGATTCATTCGTCAACATGGCCTATGATCAATTTAGGCTCCAGCCATCATTTTGGGATCCTCCAAAATGGACGCAACAGAAGGTGGCCGGGTATCCTGCTCAGCACTGCTCCCAGCGATGCTTTCAACAGTGCACTCTGAGTTTTCGACTCTTTTCTCTGGCTCTATAAATGCACAAACACAGTGTCACAGGGCTGTACGGAATTGATGTTCATCCTTCGCCTTAAAAAGATATGCCCAAACTCACAGAGCCCATCCTTCGCTTCGTTGGAGGAAGCTGACACAGTTTTCCTCGTCCTCGGTCTCCTTAGCATCTTCCACATCCTTCTCTGACTCAACAGTGCTCATCTCTGCCCGCATGCGAACAAAAAGTCTGTCAATTGTCCTTCCACTAGCTTCAAGCCCAGACTCTTGCCGTATCGGTCCTTTGCCATCTTTTTGTACACGCTCTTCTCATCTGGAAAGTGACTCAACCTGTAACATTGAAAGTGAATCCAAGTTTACAAACCAGTCTGATTCTCTTCTCGGCTTAGAAACTGTCTTCGGTTTTTACAGCTTTGGTCGATATGTTCCACCTTTCCACCGAGATGCAGTTGGTTGAAGATCCTCTGATGAACCATACGTGCATCACAAATTGCCTTCACTGCGAATCACCGTTTACTCTGTAGAACAACACACAAAATTCCGGCTTAGCTTACAACACAGTTCGAGCAATTGAATTAACAAAAGCTCAGGTGATTGTGCTGCACTCTGCAAAAGCGCAAAGTCTGCGTGAAGCTTGTCCACACTTTACAGAACTCAAACTGAGAAAGGAAACCACTTCCGCGCCCGGGCAATGACAGTGGCAGTTCGCCTGCAAACATCAGATGCAGTAGGATAAAAGCACTCAATGTCCTTCTGCCCTAGCCGCCCAGCCTTTCTGGCGCCCCGAGAAGCAACGGGCTCTCCCCGAAAATGTTTGGTGCTTTGATGCGGATCGGCGTGCTGCCCTGACGAAGCCAAAACTAAAAGCTGACAAGGCCGAGTCTGCATCATCAGAAGCATGGCCACTGCCTCTGTCAATGCCATCTGTTCCGTCATAACCTCCACCTGTACTTGCAGGCAATCAGCATGACTCACTAACAAGGAAGTGAAAACTATACCAGCATAGATCCCAAACAGTTTCAAAACGACTCGTTTGGACCAATGTTAGTCAACACCGATTTCTTGGCACGCCCTACCTTCCCCCCAAAGAAAAATCTGCTTCATCAATCTTTTTGTCGGCATAAACATCGCTATTCATTCGGCCACACGCCCCTCCAGCTGTTGACCAGGTTCATGAAGATATTGACAACGTCCAATGCGTCTCACGGGCACATTATCGGGCGCCCTATCTATCAACAGTATGAGGCGGGCCCCTACGCAAGCCCGCTTCTTTCGCGGGCGTCCGGTTGGACGTCACTCAGCATTCTAAACACTCGGCCACGGAGTTCACGGGCGCGGCCAGTGTGGCCAGGGCCGGTCAGCGCGGCCACAGGACAACAGCAGGACAAGAGAAGGACAAGAGGAGGACAACAGCAGGACCAGAGAAGACAAGAGGAGCACAAGACCCGGCCACAGAGCCCGGCCACAGAGATCAGGGGCGCAGCCAGTCAGTGTAGCCAGCTCTATCTTTTTTCAGATAGAAGCCCAACATAGAACCCCATAAGTGCACTGCTTTTTCCAAGCTGCACAATCGCAGGCCCGGACTAATGCCTGACCACAGTGATACACTAACCGGCAAACTACGAACGAAGTGCGCGAACAAAATGGGCATAGGGACAGGGCACGCACGGGCCTAAGCGCTGAAACAGCCTCTAAGAGGGTGCTGCATGACCAACACGAACTGCGTCAACACAAAGCGTCTAATTAATCCGGGAAAGTACTGCGAAGTGGTCCGTTAGCGGGAAGCTGTGCAAGAAAAGCTTGGAAGGCAGAAACTGCAGCGTGCTCGACAACACACCTGGCCCCTATGCCAGAAGCACGAAAGCAAGCACCAAGATCCCACAGGGATCGCGAGAAGGCCACGCGTTCAGCCAGGAACACGGACGATTCCAGGTTCCTCTTAAGGGTCCTAACCGTGTTTGCTATCATACGAATCTGAGCGAAGATAGGGGCACGCTTGGCCAATTCATTACCTTTAACATTCCTAACGCAATACGCCGATCTGGATTTGTTCTTACCTCCAACAATCAAGCCGATGTCGAGGCCAGAAAAATGAATGAAAAAGGAGAGAACAATGGTCGGAAAAAATGACAAATGAACCTCTCCATGGACAAGAATGTAGGTCATCTCCCCATATTCGCCCTCTCGAAGTACTGTCTGGCCCGGGTGAAATATCCGGATGTCCAGCCTCAGGAGAAGAAGTGCAAAGGCACTTCATATCTGCAAAAAAATAAAGGAAAACAAGAAGGTAAGGGGGCCTTATTTAAATGGCCCTTGCCTTTTTTGATTCAGTGTTCTTTGCGCAGTTCATTTGCTTGCTAGTAGAGAGACTCTCTCGAGAGCAATGAAAGAAAGTCCCGATGGGAATTCGAGAAGAACGGAAAGGTTTGCCTCGGCTGTGCTTGTTTGTGTCAGTTGCACACGTGTCTGAAACTCTCATGGTCGCAGAGCTGGGAGCTATGTCACAAGCCACCAACCAAAGACTAAATTCAATCCTTCCTGGAACCAAGCCACAAGCGATGGCAAAGCTCCGATACGTGGATTGGACTCCGAAGCCTTGATTCCGTTGTTTGGAATATTTCTACACCGTGCATCGTAGTGCGGGAGAGTCAGAACCAACCAAACATCGGCTTTGTTGGTACTCACGAAAATGCATAAGCCTGGCTCATGACTCTCGCCAAGACACATCATCATCTTTGTTCTTGATGAAACAAACCGACGCCGTGGGCGCGACTCCTTCAACCCAAAGCATTCCAAGGTACTCATGTTTGTTGATGCTCCAAAGAGTGTTTGTTATGTTGTTTGTTCCTCTTTCTCTCTAGCAATCCCATTCACACAGGTGTTCGCCACTTAATATACGTCTACCCAAGTGCAAAAACAAAGCCGCTTCGTCACGGGCCTATCAAATACCTATTGCTGCCATCAAGGCAACCAGTTCGAATTCTGCTTTATTTTGACCTGCTTTGACTTCGGTCCGAGATCCTCCAGTTCGCCGACGCCAGTAAGAAGCCGTTGGAGCTGCGCGCGCTCAGCCTTGGAGAGTGCCTCAGGAGCTCTCCCTGTTGCAATTGTAGCAACTGTTGCAACTCATCGCATTGAATTTGTGGCTGATAAAGATACCCCCGTTGCAAGAGTTTGCCAAGCTCACACATGTTTAAACACCAACCTTCAGTAAAGGACCAAAAGGAGGAAGTATCTTTAAATGTCTAAACTTTAAACTGCAGAGAGTATCTGAGCATTTCTTGCCAAGCTGCCATGCCATACCCTGAGAAGACAAAGTTCAACTGTTCACAGTTGTTAGCAACAGATTCACAGTACAATTTGTAAAATGCCAAAACTCACACTCCAAGCGCAGGGGTGGGTAGCTGTCAAGGAATCCCAGGCTTTGTGAAGTCACTTTGGTAACTTGATGCAAATGCGTGAAATTGTTCTGTACTCTCCATACTACACTGCTCGAGAGTGCAAAGCTGCGTTTAAGCTTGTCTTGTGAATTGTCATTTGTCTGGAGAGTTGGCATCATCATGCTGTGCTCATAATGACATTGAGCGCGACCCTAAAAATACCTTGAGCGAGCCAAATATTCCAGTGATGCTACAAGGCCAGACATGAAGTGTTCCTTCTCGCTGTCTCCCAAAGTTCAGGCCTCAGCCATTGGTGGCGGCGTCTGCTTGTATGCGCAGATTGCGCGGAGAACCTGGGAAAGTGCATGACTCTCCTGGTCTTGTTTACTTGCTTGTTTCTCAGCCCAGCCTGTCATATTTCATTAAGCAAAAAGCTCTAGTTTATGTTGTGTTTCCTCTATTGGACGGAATTGTGCCAAACCTAAACTGCTGTCCATGATTGTCATTGTCCAGGAAGCTACAGCTTGCAGCATGTCAAGCACCGCATAGGGTTTCTGCTGCTCAAAACCCTGTAAAAGAGCCCAGTCAATCATTGCAAAGTCAGTTGTCAAATCATTGCAAAATCAGTCAATCGAGCATGGACTGTGGAAGACTCTGATGCTTTTGTGCCAAAAACTGCATCACGGAAACAAGTGGCAGTGCACAGCACAATCTCAAGATAAATCAAGATATATAATATAGTAACAATGTTCGCTACTAGGAACAAGTGCATCGCTTCTAGGAACAAGTGCCTTACTAGTAGTAACATGTAGTAACAACACTTCAATCGTTTTCCCTCGCAGCCAAACTCAATGTGTCCCAACCGAGTTCTCGCGTTTTCAACCTTATGCTTTGCCCTCAAGCGCTTCCTTCGCCTGCATCTCAGAATAGCACCTTCCAGCATCATGTGTTCACCACTTCGAATCAAACTAACTTTGGAGTTTGATTGGCAAGTTGAATCAAAGGTTGCCATACGCAACTGGCTCAAGGCCTGCTCCTGCTTCAACGAAACGTTGGAAGATGCCTTTCAAGCCACCCAGCAGCAATGCTCCTGCCTGAATGGAAGTGTGCCACGGGAATGAACCTGTGTGGCTATGCGGCTACGCCCATGTTTCTGCCTCAAAAACCGAGGCGGTCTGCGAAGGATGGCCTGGCCGAAGCTCTCCAGCAAGAAGCGACAATTTGTCTCACTAAAAACAACCATTGGTCGAAACACATAGGAAGAGATTGAAGATAAGAACGTGCAGCTCAACGTCAAAGCAAAGGCACCTTTGACGCCAGACAGAGCAGAAGCTGGGGTTCCGCTTCCGGATAGGAAAGTCTGTTGGGTCACCTGATATCAAAGCAAATTGTGTTCCATAGACCAAAAGCACTTCAGAAACAATCGCCGATGGCCGAATTCTAGCTCAAGTGTCTGCACATGGTGTATACGTCTGAAGAACCATTTCAATACAGCACAACAAAAGATTCGCTCCAAGTAGAGGTGTATATGCGCAAGTTATATTATGACAAAGAATCACTATAAGTTTATATATACAAATGGTAACAAAATGTTATCACCAAAACAGAGAAAATGTAGTCAAGAACCAACGCAGCATAATGTATAAAGAAAAAGTAATTCCGTGAAAAAATCATGTCTCAAATCGGATATCTTATGTTCCAAAAACATTGCGTTTTAGACAAAAGGCACTGCAGGCTAAAAAATGGATCTTAGCGCACCATTTCTAGACAAGAAGAGGGTGTGTAAACATAATTGAAGATTGGGTTGGCTGATATCTTAAAGACACACATATTTTTAAGCTCGGGTTCTACGTCCTATGATTTTAGAGAAGCTTTAGGTTTGAAGAGGTTGCGCACTTGGTGCCAAAAAGAGTTTGTGATGTTTATTTGCAGTCCTTGGCTCCGCAAATGGCTTGCCCATTCATGCTTGTTGTGGCTGTCATCCTTGGGCACCTTGATTTTATAGTAGCCTTGTTTTGCTTTATATTATTTGTCTCACCTGTCTGTCTGATCTTGTGAGCTCCATTCTATACTATATATGGTACATATATGTATTTTCTTGTTGCCCTTGATTCAGGATATTTTCCATTTAGCCTCATGTACCCAGATTTAGGGTTCTAGAATGGTCCTGAAATAGAAGCAGGATGACAAAACGTACAATGAATGTAGCTGTCGAAAAGACCATGCTTTAAGTTCTGGCAATGTAACTGTTTGGACACGCAAGCGCTTAGCTTGTACAAAAGCACGTAAACCAAGCAAATATTGACAAACAATGCAAATGTTTGTCAAAAACAAACAAAAGGAAAAAAATCTAAGCACTGGATGTATGTATGTACATGTGCTAGCGCATGACTTATACACGAATGATGCAAGAAACGCAGTGTCGAGCAAGCAGTTTTCACACATCGAAAAAATCGACCAACACCAAAACGGGTTGAAATGCAACCACAAAGACTTTTTGCAACATAACAAGTTACAAAAACAAGCTCACTGTCCAATTTTCATAGACGAGGAAGCACTTAAGAAATGTTCGCTGATGGCCGAATTGTCCGTTCAAGTGCCTGCGCATGGTTTATATAACTGAAACCAAGTCAATACAGCACAACAACGTTTGTATATCTACTCGCGCTATTCCTACTCGGACAGAGACTGAAACGGATTTAAGTTAAGTTCGCGCAAATGGCAGGAACATATTACAGCATCTCCAAAGGAGAAAGAAGATGCACTGATTGAAGGACGAAGGCACAATTTACACACGAAAGGTGCAACAATGAATCCAGCGGACGAAGAGCCCCCGCATCATGTTTGCATCTGAAAAACATACTCAACATAAAAAACAAGTGCCAGCAGGAAACATATACTTGAAAATGCACCCGGCACGACAAGTGTTTAGACATGGGCGTGCACATTTTCCATATGGACAAGAAGGAGACGTTCGAAAGAGTATCATAGGGGTTCAATGTGACAACAACATACCATCACCAAAGGAAAAGACCATGTATGTTCAACTACGGAGGCGTTATCTACGCACGACAGGTGCAATGAATGCAGTTCTCAGAGGGAGCCTAATTTAAGTACTCGGAAAGTATGAGTTTGGACAAGGCTTATCCAAATACTAATGTGTTTCAAGAGGCGGCAAAAGATACCGACGCAAGCAGAACATGCAAGTACTCGCCAACTGATATCCTGAACCAAAACAATACAAAGGTTGCTCTTCTCAAGCGAAGCAATTTTCTTTACACCTCGACACACAAGCGCACAGTCCATACATGTACCAAGACTGAGCCGGAGACACAACCACAACATTCATAAGCGAGACACCACCAAAACATCAGCGAATCACCACCAAAACAGAACCAGTAAACCGCCAAAACAGCAAAACAGTACAAACACACCACCAAAACATAACCGGCACACCACCCAAACATGAGCAAGACACCACCGAAACAGAACGCAAAAATTACCAACACAATCCAACACACACCAACGAAACATGACCGAGACACCACCTAAACACGACGGAGATTCGAAGTAAACATGACCAAGACAACATTAAAACATGACCCAGAAACCACCAAAACATGACCGTTAAATTCTGTTAAATCACCAAACATATTATCACCGAGACACCACCTAAACGTGACCGAGATCCGAGACACTACCTAAACATGACATACCCACACACCACCTAAACATTGAACCCCAAGCTATCGCTATTGGGGAATTTGTGCACGAATCCAAAACCAGCAAGGCGGAAGCTCCACCAGTCAAAACGTTAACCGTCAACAGGGTTGGGCCTAGCTGTATAGAGTTTGAAATCATAGTTTTTGTGAATATAGATTAGAATGGAATCAGTCTATCTAGCGTCTGCACAGAGAACATTTTTGAATCAGCCGTCTCTCTCGCCCATACGTTCAAGCTGCACAAAATGAAGGCCTGCTCAGCCTGGCCAATGCTGCCGCATTTCTCCCTGTAGAGCTTCACCACCTCTTGCACAGACGAGGCCTCGGGAAGAGAAGCTCACTTCAGGAGATTGGGATAAATGACGTGCCCGGACACCCAAAGAATCTGCTGCTTAACGTGTTGTACTTCCCCTAGCTTCACAACTCCAGCTTCCTGCCTGCTGAAGGCGCCACCATTCTAGGATGTACCTGAGAGGGCCACAAGGAAAATGATTGTGAAATTCCTCAGCTTGGAATGCAACAGCATCAAGTCAAACGAATTCTTTCAAACCTTGAAACATTTGCTGCCGATTGGCCTTCCACGTGCACGATCACGGAGATCCGTCAGCAAGCGCTGTGTGCCCTCCTCAGCCTCTTCACTTCCAACAGCGCCAGTAAGCATCGACCTCGCAAACTCTGGGAATTGAAGAATTGAAGGAGCTCCGGAAGGAACGACACCAGGATCAAAATATTCTATAATATAGACAGATAGGATAGGAGGCGGTTCAGATGAGATGAGATGAGATGAGACAAGTTCATAAGATAGAGAAGATAGACAAGATAGAAAATATGAATAGGATAGATCAGATGAGATTAGATGAGATAAGTTCATAAGGTAAGATGAGATGAGACAAGTTCATAAGATAAGATGAGATGAGAGGAGATGAGTTCAAAAGATAGGGAAGATAGACAAGATAAATAAAATGGATAGGATAGATCAGATGAGATGAGATGAGATAAGCTCATAAGTTAGAGAAGAGAGACAACTAGAATGGATAGGATAGATAAGAAAAGATGAGATGAGATAAGTTCGATGAGATGAGATAAGTTCATAAGATATAGAAGATAGACAAGATAAATAAAAAGGATAGGAAAGATAAGATGAGATGAGATGAGATGAGACAAGTTCATAAGATAGAGAAGATAGACAAGATTTAAAATATATATATATTAGATGAGATAAGTTCATAAGATAGAGAAGATAGACAAGATAAACAGGATGGATAGGATAGATAAGATGAGATGAGATGAGACACGTTCATAAGATAGAGAAGATAGACCAGATAAGTAAAATGGATAGGATAGATAGGATGAGATTAGATAAGTTCATAAGATAGAGAAGATAGACATGATAGACAAGATAGATAAAAACGGATAAATGGATAGGATAGACCAGATGAGATGAGATGAGATAAGATAAGATAGATAAGATAGATAAATCAATAGACAGATAGACAAACAAGAGAAATAGGATACTGTAGATAAGATTGATCGCATTGATAAGATAGACAGAAGAGATAAGGCAGATAGGATAGATAAGAAAAAACACAAATAGATAGATAGATAGATAGACAGATAAACAGATGGAGAGACAAATAGATATATAAAGAATAGAGAGAGACAAATAGATAGATAGATAGATAGATAGATAGATAGATAGATATATAGATAGATAGATAGATAGATAGAGAGATGTATGGAAAAACAAGGGACACAGGCTGCCAATCGGCTCCGAAAGTTTGCTGTTTTTTATCTATTCAACAGGTATGCAGCTACATCCTGTTCGACAATATGCACAGAAGCTGCAAACACCAAACAAAACCTTTCTCAAGCACTAGAGGCCCCCAGCCTCAAATGGTTCCGCAAAACGTCCACATTTCGCAGATCCCAAACAGAAAAGCACTCTTCTGCATCGAGCTGCAGGCAATGCCTTAGGTCTCCAAGCACATTAAGTCACAGAGCAGGCAACTGTTGGAAGCATTGTTGAAAAAACGATACAAATGCAATTTGTTTCAATAAACGATCTTAATAAAATCAAGTAAGTTCAAAATGTGCTTCCGATGTGAGATCAGTGGCTCCAAATATTCATGAATGAGAGGCAAGGCCGCTGGCAAGGCCTTCCCATATGGCGTGGAAGGTGTGGTGCTAAACGCTCTTTGAAACAGCGCTGGATCCCTCAATAGCTGCTCCGCCACCATAATACCATCCTGAAACTATGGAGCAACTACGTGCGCTTGTTTCAATGATAAAATGGAGAACATGAGAACTATCAAAACTGAGTCCAAAGCACATTGGGTGAAGGCCAGGTTCCTCTCAACATCCTTGGCAGGTTGGAGATTGTTCAAACAAAGAGGTTGCTTTTGCAACATGTTTGTGTTGAAAAAATGAATTATATACGTGTTTTTGGAAAACCATGTCCATGACTCCTGCAATTGTCATAATCAATCACAGGCAGGCGGCCTCAGCACTTTTCACGTTGCCTCAGAAGTCTTAGAGCAATGACGTGGAACGTTTTGGCCGTTTTTCCAAAATCTTGCAACCTCACCACTGAAGACTTAGAAATGGAATCTGCCACTTCTGCAGGAAGCGAGAATCAGACACAAACGCAAATCACTCCAGTCTCTACAGAAAAGCTCCGTCATAGGTTTGGAACAATTCCCAAATCACATAGCGAGCTTTAGGACCAAGGTTGAAAGTAAGACCAAGGTCTTATAGCTCCATTCTGAAGAGTTTCTCAAATTTGCTCTTTCCAACGAAGCCGTCAAGCCACCATTTGACAGCACTGGTATCTGCAAGACTGCTTTGAGCTTACTGACAGTGGCCAAATCCTTGGGCGATCGCTTCTTTGAGATGCGTAAGTCAATACAAGTCATCACGACTTCGCTCCGTTTGAGTCTGTCTTGTTTGCAAACTGCATGTATAGCATCCTCAAGAGTGTCCCCTTCTCCTTGCTGATAGTGGCGCTGCTGCGCCACCACGTCGTTCTTTCGCACTCTCCAGGCGCCGGCCATGCACCGCCAGGAGAGCGCACCCCGCAGCTTGCAAACGAAGTGCATAGTCTTGGCTACAAGCCTCACATCGATTGCTTCCTATCTTGACTTTGTGGAGACAAAGAAAAATACAAAAGGCCAAAAAGAATATATCTGCAGTTAGAGTTTATCAGTACCGGCACTTGCCCAACACTGCAACAACACGCTGTCAAAAACATCGCAGGTGAAGGACTACCAAGACAAGAAAAAGTCAAGCATATATCCAGTCATGCAAAACTTGTGAGTGAATGCAAAGAGGTTCTCGGACCAGCTTCGGTTAGCCGCCTAGCCTAGGAGTCAGTGACTTCCTTTCCTTTCCAAGCTTCAAGTATATAGTAATTTTTGACTGACCTACGCAGAGCTACGCTAGATTCAAAGGCCCACAAAGAGTTGAGTTTCTCCACCCCCACCGGCCACGGCATCTCTAAGCCTCTGTTGCTTGCAGCCGAATCTTGCAGAAAATTGGAATCTCCAAATCTCTTGCACACTTTGCGACCATGGCCTCCCACAAGTGTGTTACAGTGCCAGTTGCAAAAGTGTGCAGTAGATTATCGATGCCTCGATCAAGGGCCAATTGTTTCGATTTGAGGCCAACCACGCACCGTAGTTTCCTGGACAAGGCTTCAAGGCACAAAGCACTCAATGCAGTGTCTTCGGCCTGTTTTGGCTTTCCTTGGAAAAAGACGGGCAGGCATGTCACTCCTCTTGTGTAACACCGTCTTTTCTGAATGTCTTGCTTGTGCCTCTGGTCAATCAGAATAGAAGTTCTGATGCTGAGCCAAGATTCCCCTGCGGGCATCCCAAGTTCAAGTCAACAGCGTCAGCACCAAGTTTCTGGAGGGCAGCTAGGGGCATCGAAAGGGAGATATCAATGCAATACCAGAGGACAAAAATAGAAAAGCGGTATCATTCAGTCAACAAAAATGACACACCCACATTCTATCTTCAATATCCTCTCTGTTGTATTTGTGCACCACAAAACACTACGGCTCAAAACTCCAACTATATAAGTGTTGCAAGGAATTCGACTTAACAATTGCGCGTTTCCCTATCCTGTGCCCAACGTGCAGCATCCCGCAACATTGTCGGATCGTTTGCCGCAAGCTGCACAACCAACGGATGATCGTCAGCACACACCTTGACACCCCAGCTTTCCCAAACGGAAACGGTGATTGCAGCAATGTGACAGCAACTCAGGAGCCTGCACCTTTGCCCAAAGCAGCTTTTCTGTAGTCCTCTCAGGCCATGAATGGTTTCTGTAGTGCCCAGAAGCATAAATGTCCCTTCAGCTTCGCAAGAGCTTGTTGGAGGTCGAGTTCGTATGACAAGGATCAAATTGACGGTTGAAAAAGCTCGCGTCAAGCAAATTGCAATTCAGTTGAAGTCTGAAGTCCTCACATTGCGCAAAGCGATCTGCCATCAGCATCTCGGTGTAGCAAAGCGTACACCCGTGTGCCCTGACCAGGCGACGGAAAGGTCGGTCGCCTCAGGCAAATGGCCAAAGCTGCAGTGTGTCTTAAGTAAAGGCATAGAGCATTTTTTACATGCAACAAGAATGTAATATGTTCTCTTCTTGAAACTGCAAGCATCTTGTGATTGTGTTGGTCTTTTGCAAATTGCAAGCTGAGGATGCAAATAAGTGTCCGGCTTTGCGTCACCATTGGGGCCATGGCAAAAATGGGCGGTACCAGGTTCAATGGAAGCGACATGTCAAACTTGTCCAGCTCAGCAAGTGCTGAGAAGGCAGAGAAGTGCACTTAAATGTTTGCAAGTAGCACTGAGGTCAACCTCAAAGAATAGAGGTGCTGCAGCTGGATACGCTCCAAAAGGTGTATCCAACCCTGTTCAACACACCCAACGAAACGTGTGGAATCATTTTTGGGTACGGCATTTTTATATAATTAGAACCTGAAATTGTTGAGGGACAATCACTGCAACGCCAACTGTAGTGCAAGGTTCCCTCCAGTTTGCGGAAGGAACTGAGGGAGAAAAAAAATGCCATGACCAAAACTTCATTGCAACAGCTCAAGTGAAGGCTGTAGTGATGGTTCGGACTAGTAAGCATTCTTTGCACATTGTTGAGGCAGCAATTCTGTAGAGGTGGCGCGCTCATCTGATATTTGACGGCATGTTGTCTGTCAAACTCAAAAAAAAATTGTGCTGCTGTGTTTGTAAGAGCTGAAATTGCAAAATATCCAGAGCTTGGGATTTGAGCCGAAATTGCAAAAATAGTTATGCTTTGGATATCTGTGTGTGTGTGTGTTGGAGAACCCTCAAATGGACAACGCCCGCTGAACAACAACAAGGCAAAGTTCTGCTGAAAGAATTGAGAGTTTCTGCCGACTAGAATACATATCTTGATCCCTGGCTCATCTTTGAGTCAGAGTACTCATTCCTGTCGCCTGCACTTTGTGGCAGGGCTGACTGCACGAGATTCGATACCCGACAACAACTCTACAACATCCAAATGACTGCGGTATTTCGCAATCGAAAGCGGAGATTTACCCTCTCGGTCAAGCTTACCTTTGTCAGCACGTGCTTTGATTAGAAGTTCCACAATTTCGACATTCCCATGATTGGCAGCGATCCACAAGGGTGATCTTCCATGCGCATCAATCTGATCCTTCTGCACGCCAGCCTTAATTAAGAAACGCGCAACTTCCAACTTGTCATGGTCAGCAGCCATCCATAGGGGTGATCTGCCATGCCGATCAACTTTGTCTTTGCAAACACCTGCATTGATCAACACCTTCACCACCTCTACATGACCCTGCGAGGTGGCAACTAGCAACGGTGTCTTTCCATCACGATCCTCTTCACTCTTGTCAGCACGAGCACCAATCAAGAGCTGCACGACTTCCCCGTTGGCTTGCTGGCAAGCCAGTGAAAGAGGAGGCTTGGTAGCACCTGATTTCAAGCTATTTCACTGTATTAACTCACATTCTAGACGCACACAGCCCTTCCGACCTCCTTTTGACATAAACAAGCGGACCTCCCAAACCCTTGCAGCGCCTGCATGGAGTAACACGCGAACAATATTGTCAAAGCCATTGGTGCAAGCAGTTTCTATCGGCGTAGTCCCTCGCAAATCTGCCGTGTCAGCAGAAGCTTTGGCCTCGACTAGGAGCTCTGCAACCTCCCAGTGACCAAGCTTGCAACAGAGATGTAAAGGTGTTTCGCCCAGCCAATTTTCCTTCGTTGACCACAAAGCTACCCGTGAAAAACCTCATGCCAAACTCCAATCAACACACAAGAAGTGTACCTCTCAAGCAGTATTCGATTCTTGCGTATCATTGAGACATGTATTATCATCCCTGGACTGATAGAAAAATATTTTTGTAGGGGATGACGTTGTCAAAAGAACCCGTGTTTGGACACTCCATTTGTTTTGTGAAAAGAGATCCTAGAATATAATATAAATATATATATAGGAAAGGATTTTATCAAACCCTCATTCGCCTTTTCCTTACCACCTTCCTGTGTCAAGTCTATTCCTTCTTTCCTTTATGTTGTATTTGTTTCCTCTTTCCTTTCTCTATGTCCTGTTCTTTTGTTTCCTCTCCTTTCCTGTCCTTTTTATGCCTTCCCTGTCTGTCGGGTCCTTTTGTTTCTTTTCCTGTATTGTCAATTTCTTTCCTTTTCTTTATGTTCCTTCTCTATCTCCTTTTCTCCATCTCCTTTTTTCTTTCCTGATTCTCCGTTTCCAGCAATTGAAAGAAACAGATTTAAAAATAAAAAGTAACCACAAAAAGTAAAATAAAACATAAAAGTGAAAAGGAACGGAAAGAAAACCCATGTATTTCTTAAGAGGCATGCATATTCTCTGTGTGAGGTCTGGGAAAGCCGATCTTCTTAATACTATGTCCACTCTATCTGCTCCCAATGTTGATGACAAACAGTTCTGAGTAGAGTGAAGAGTTTCGCGATTAATGATCGCTCCGGCATCAATCAAAATCCTTGCGCACTCAAGATGACCAGCTTGCGCAGCAAGCTGCAAGGCTGATATGCCAGCATGCCGATTTCGCCGAACAAAACGAGGCAAATGTGGCGCTAGGTTTGGATTCGGCTCATCTGAATCGGGATCGTCAGGCAAAAGTTGATTTGGGTTCATCGGTGCATGCAGCATAGCCTCTAAAGAAGCGGTTTCACCTGACACTCATGTTCAAATCAAGAGTGACAAAAAAAATAGACACATGGTTCACTCCCTACAAGGAATGGATTGGAAACTGAACAACGTTTAAAATGTTGTTTTTTTGTCAACAGCCCCACCATCTTCAGCAGCTTTCAGAAAACGTTTTATTTGGTCTTCATCCGGATCTGTGAAGTCGTGTATCGTCATCTGAAGCTCAGTTGGTGCACTCAAATCGTTCAACTGGTGTTCATCACGAAGGACCTCACCCTGGCGAACTAATCTGAACCTGTAGATCGGTACCTTGTTGCAGCGCAAAACAATACCCAAAAAAGGAAAGCCGAAACAGCAACAAACAAATTATGTACCCTTGCTTGGCTGGCCCCTGGGACGATGATTATGCCAACGACATAGTAAAAATGGAACAACACAGCTAAGCTGCATCACAAATTGTTCGCAAGTGACGTTTCAACGCAATGACAGAGTTGCCATGCGTCTCTGTGACTTGCCGAACTCCATGTTCATCCAAACTGGCCACTTCCTTGCCTGATATCTGGTGGATTCGTATCATCACAAGAACGCCGTGAAGACAACCTAAATGACCTGAACAGTTGTACAAATTGCTGTCAATGGCCACCATGCAAACCAGCGTTTGCAGTTCTTCTCGCAGGACTGTTGACACAATACATCAGTTCCAACTCTGAATAACTAAGTTTGGACCTGAAAAATTCAACAAAAACATAACTTTACAAGACCTGTTGTGAAGGTGCGGAAATCAGGCGGCCCCTCACCATTCGCACCACATGCCGTGCGAAAACATAACGGCTAATCACTTGTTTCAATGAGAATTTGCAAGCAATGTTTTGTTGGCAAAAACTGAACTCGCACAAATTGGCCAAAAATCACAAGATCTATTGTAGTTCCGCCGTGCAACAGAACCACGTACAATTCTGGATGCCTGTCGCAAAACCACATGGGAGTGCGACAGCAAAGACTGCCCACAGGGTCTCAGATTCAGCGATCTGAACTTTTTGGAAATTTTGAGTCACTTGAAGGTTTCCACTTTTTCACTGTTTTGCAGCTTGTGTTCTTTGTTTTTTCAAAATAGAAGCCACAAGTTTGTATATATATACATGTGGTATATATAGATGCGTAGTTTTGGGTTCGCTTTAAGGCTTCGTGAAAGCCTGCTTCAAATGGATTCGCATAGGGGTCATTGCCTATTGCCTGTCGTAATAACGCAACAGCCAGCTGAAAACCGAAGGGACGAAAGCCAGCCCCTGCAAACGCTTAGAGCAGCGTGCTTCACTCAAGGAACTTCAACAAACCCCTGATAATACGTTGGCAAGTGCTCGAAGATGCATCTGCCCAGTCCTGCGTTGTCCAATGCCACGTCGCTAGAGTCCGCTTTTTGGAGGTGCCCTCTTTGACCCCGAGACGGCCTCCAAGCCAAACACGACAGACCAACAAATTTTCTGCTTTAGACCTTTTCTGGTGGAGCTTGGTTTTGCTGCGATGGCCCCCAAACAAAACAGAAAGGGATGCTGTCAGATGTCGGGCTTTCCACGTTTTCTGGACATAATTGGAGGTACGGTGAAAAAAATGCATTTTTATTATCTTTATATACAGCAACAATTCCACAGAAGTATCAAATCTTCAGTGCCATGGTATCCAGGTAGTAGTCTGAGCAACAGTTTTTTGGGCTGATCCCATTCGACGAAGAAAACAGCAAAGTGTACGAGAGTAGAAGCTTTCAGCAAAGGGTAGGAGAGCAGGGTCGATAAAAATGCACTGACTTCCGCAAAGTGTAGCAGATTAGGAGCCTTTGACAAAGGCCAGGAGGAGGGTCGACCAATTCTTTTTTTTTCGGTCGACCCCCCCAAAGTGTGGAAAATCAAGTTGTAGGAATACCAGAGAAATTCCAAATCATGAGTAATACTATACTGATGATATCGTTGGTACAATTGAGAAAATAAACCAGGTAGTGACTAGGAGGTTATTTGCAGGAGCAAGGGGAAAAAATATCTGCCAGAAAATGGTGGATAAAGCTACACAATATTGTTTGTATGCCCTACTAATAGTCTCACGAAACTCGGCCCTTTTTCACCTTGCTTTTGAGCCACTTGTTGCGTTGATAAGAACAGATACTTCACTGCTCTTGACTGTACCTGTCATCCTTGCGCAGGGGTCATGTCTGCTCTACTATCTTGTGACACCCCGCCTTAAGGTTTCATGAAACGAAGGAAACCTTATTTCCATAAATTCCATACAAAATTCTAAATTCCATCAAGTGAAACTTTTCACTCACTTCGGCCATTTCATTGGCTCAGTGAACATGTAGGTGACCTTTTATCACCCATCATACCCTTCATCGTCATCTTCGACCATTACTTCCTCTTCTTCGTCTGCACTGTAGTGGTGTGCAATCCATGCACTGGGATCTTCACTTTCTTCCAACGGCCCATTGATGTCAGGCCTCATTGGGCCTGTTGCTGGTGTCCTCATTTGCATTCTCATCAACTTCACGTTCACTTCCTGAGGTTGTCTCATTGTCTGAAAAGAACGAAAGGCTGCTACCACTCTCAATCCACTTGTTGAAGGCTATCACGGCAGCATGAAAAGCTTTGGGCTTGTTCTGGTGCATCATCCCAAGAAGATGCTGGAGGTACCGCAGTGTATTGCGGGCTGACCTGATGTCATCTCGAAATGTAGCATCTCTTGTCATCTCCAGCTCTCGGATGCGCTCATTCAAATTGCGACAAGCTAATGTCAACGACACTTCTGGTCCATGCCCTTCGTTCAACAATCTTGTCCTCAACTTCTGAAGATCTTCTGGGAAAATGGGAACTCCCTCAAGTCCCCAAACCACCATTGTCCTCATTGAGCCAACGACAAACCACTCCGAACCATCGATGGCCTCTGGCATTTCATCTTGCGGATTCAAGAACTGCGTCAGTTCTTCTGCCACAAAATCCGAAACTGTCTGCTGTGCTATCTCTGCATCCATGCCTCTTGAGGAACTTGATGACTGCTGACGTTGGTCGTCATCTTCTGCTTCTTCATCTTCATCTGGGTTCTCCATGGTGCGCACACCCTCATGCACACATTTCCTCCTGTTCATAGGTGTTTCTTCTACATCTTCTGTCTGCGGCACATCTCCATAGTACGGGTTTGGTCCACCCGCAACATCACCATTTCCACCTCCTGAAGCATGTGAAAGGTGTGAGTGAAGACCTCCTCCAAAGTAGCCTCCTTCTGATGTTTCGTCTTCTCCTTCTGCCATGAGAAATGGATTCTCACGCCTCCTCAACTCCAGCTCATTCTTTAGGCCTCGCCATACGCAGCTGTACCTCGCCAGTTACTCAGTTGCGTCCTCATTCTCTGCATATTGAAGACGAGAATGGCGATCACACTCATCAAAATGAAAACTGCCCAGCACAAAATGTGTAGGCTCCATGCATTGTGAACCACTGCTTGTCTCATTCCTCCACATGTCATCTCTGAGGCTTCATCATTGTTGCACCCTTTGAGTAGTCCAGCAGTCAAAAGAACATGGATGATCCGCTGAACACTGGGCATCACCTCCTCCTTGAAACTTGAACTCCATAGTCCAATGAGCTTCGCCAAATACTCCCTTCTCTCGCGACTGAGGGATTTGGTGTTCAGGTCGGCCGGGTTGTCTTTGGTTGCAATGCGACCGATTCGATACCAGCCTCTTCTCATTCCTTCTTGCCCCCACAGAATCCTGGTGCAAAGATGCTTAGCCCTTCCAGGTCCAATCCTCTGGAAAAAGGTTTGAGCACTGGTGGAATCCAAATACAACTTCATCTCAACCATGGACTCATTACCTGGGTCCTGCCGGCAACCAAGCAGGAATTGTAGGCCCTGCTTCAACATGATTCCTTCTGCAAGAAGTCCGGTTGCGGCCAACACCTTTGCTTGCATTGATGACAAAGCAATGGACATCTGACCTCGACTGTGGGAATGCATGCAATTCCCATTGTGGAAGATCAAACCTGATGACGTCGATCTCGGGGAACTCTTGGCAGCAGCCCAGTCCGAGTCAGAGAACAACTCCAACACATGCGGCTTGTGACCGGCCTTGACTCCCACATCAAGGTGCCTCCATCTGCTGAACACCGTGGTGAACTCACCTGTCCGCTCATAGCGTAGGACCATGCCGGATGTGCTTTGCAAGTAGCAAGCCACCTTCTTGATTGCGGAAAGCGCGGTCTTGGTCGGCCTGCTCATGTACGAACTCAGGATCCTAGTGACACGTTGGATGTCCAACCTTTCTTGGCTCAAATAAATCAGGACCCCAAGAGCTGACCGAAATGTCTGAGTTTCTTTTGTACCTAGAAACTCCTCCTCTGGTGTCGCCTCAGCATCATAGGCTCGCATGCGATGGGACTCCTCTCTCCCGTCGCTCCTGCACACCCAGCAAACTGCTAAGCTTCGGCACATACTTCTTGATTGCCGCAATCTCAAGACCTTCATTGTCAAATGTGATCCTTCTCTGCAAGTAGAACAAAGTTCCGGGTTTCTCAACTCCATATGGCCCGTCAGCTTTGAGCTTGAGCTTCTTTGAGAAATGCCCAACAAACAAACGGTGACATGCCTCTTCTCCAACTAGGATGATATCGTCTATGTGCACCGAGAGGAACTACTTCTCTGTTTCATGTTTGAACAGCGTGCCTCCCTGAAATGAGCAGAACTGAAATTCAGTGCACAACCTGGCGGAATGTCGATTCCTTTCCAACGCTGCATTGCGTTGGCCAGGTAGACATCGTTGGAGTTTCCAGAACATGAGGTTTGGTTGTTGCAAGATCGTTCGAATCCAGCTAGGGACCTCAATCACCACTCACGTTGCTTTACCGGCAAAAAGGCATCTGAAATATCCATCACGGACACCATCAACTTCATCGTGATGCTCATTGACAGCAAAAAGTTTGATGAATGAAAGCGGACTTGTGGGGCTGAATGTCTCCATAGATGATGCGGCTCCACCACGAAACTTCTGGCAACGAGCCACGCCCTTCGAATCCAGCATGCTTCTCTGAACCGCCAGTCAAAGACAATGCGGGTGTCAAGCTTCACTGCTTCTTCGATATTGTCATTAGGCTCTACATTTGCCAGCACCTGTAGGTCATCAAGACGAGAAACTTCTGCAAGCATTGCTTGTTGATCAAGCACTTGCAGCTCTTCTTCACGCACCTGTGGTGGTCCGCGGCCCTCATCATAGCAACCTCGCTTCTTCATGTCCTCTTGTGTCAAGAAATTTGAACTCTCACACTGGTCCTGCTGCTCACTCCAATCATAACTACCCTTCTCTTCATACTCAGCATCCGGTTCATCCTCAACATAAAGATCAAGCTCTGCAACCTGTTGTACTGCACGAGTGCCCACATCTGATGAGAAAGAAGTTTTCAATGCCTTCGAACTTGGCTCTGTGATTGGAGTCTCTGGATCAAAGCGAACCAACTTTGCCTGCTCTCTCAAGTCTTCTGTTGCCTTCTTCTTGAACTGAGCATGGTCATATCGACCTTTCTGAACACACTCTGGCTGTGGACTCCCTTCTAATGCCCTCTTTGGACTGCTTTCAACTGCTGATGCTTCTGCTGCTGCTTGCTGTTCTGCTGTTACTTGTTGTTGTGTTTCTGCAGCGGCGGATGTATCTGCTGTCGCTTGTTGTTCATGGGCAGCCCCGCCTGTCTCTGACTCCTTAGGCTCACCCACTTCCTGATCTTCATCAGGATGGTCAACAGCGTACTTGATCACTTCTTCGGCATCAGGATCAACTTTTTTTTGGATGGGTGGAGCCGCCGTTCACGCAGAAGATGCACAGGTCAGCTTGTACAGCTTTTCTAAGTGGAGTCTCCAAGGGGCCAAACAAGAAAACACCCAACAAAACCAGGCCCCCAAACACAAAAGCAAAAGAAAAGGGAGACTCTACATCGCGCTTGCAAAGGGTGAAAATCTGAGGTCCGAGGTGAAACATTGAGACGCTATTGCGAAGACGTTTGGGCAATGAATTAAGGCAAAAAGATCGAAAGGCAGGCAGTCCGTTGCGCGATGCAGTCGCTTGCTGTCAACTAAGGTGGTAGGCGACAGGCCTGTCACGGCAGGCCTGTGCAGAGAGCACTGTTTAAAGAAATGCTCATCGTGCTCATCTTGACAGCTTATGGCTGTGACGCATTTGTTGGCCATTTGTTGGCCACTCTGCCATTATTGTGAAGTCAAAAAGGAATGCGAGTCGAAGTGCATAATTATCACAGCTTGAAGAAGGCCTGGGAAAAGCGGAGAGGCACAATTCTCTGACGTGACAAGCGAAAGGGCAATGAGTCTCCAATGTGGCCTGTGCGTGGTGTGATGATATGACTTCTTCCATGACAAGATCGGCAGGGTCTTGTGCGAGCAAACTAGGTTGTTGCCATTAGTTTTCCTCCTGGAGGGAGGGAAGCGGCGCCATCATGCTCAAGCGTACCGTAACAGCTTTGCAAAAGGAGCACCCGTCTACCATGTGGCGAAGGTCAAGTGGACGCGTCGTCTTGGCCGCGGCAATCTCTCCACTCCTGCCCTTCCAAAGACATGCAGCCCATGTGAAACATAAAAGATTATCTGTACACTTTGTACCCAGCTGGCAGGGCAGTGACCCACCCTCAGAAGGACCAAGGCCCCTCGCCGAGCTCGTGCTACAGACCATCCATGCAAAAAGCCTTCATGGGCTGTCCTATCCTGAGAGAAATTGAAGTCCCGCCTGCGCTTCGATACACAGTCCATAAGGTTCCTTGACTGTACGTGGCCAACACGCCTTAACCTGATGCCAGGCAAGCGAACAACGTGGAGAGGGCCCATGCATTACATACTGCCTTTAAACTGTGCCCCCAGTTTGCATTGGCGAAATGGATCAACCTTCTCCCCAGCAAAGGGGATGACCCCATGATGAGACTGGCAATACAATACGAACAAGCCGCGCAATTTTGATGAGTGAGCTAAGATACCCCGTTGTACTGGCGTCCGGGGTCAGTACCGGATAATTTCCAGGGACTGACGGGTTTTTAGCCAAAACCGGTGGATAAATTTGAAGGCCAGAGGGCCAACATAAGGCCCAAAAAAAAAGAAGTACACAACCAGTGCAGATAGATAATTTTGAGAAGGCCTGAGGTTAGCAAGCTAGACGAATAGGATCGAGGAAACCCCCCCAAAAAGTAGATGCCAATCGACAAACGAGACAAAAAGAAAAGATCCCAGGCCCAGGTTCTTTTCCAACGCTCTATGTGCTCTGTGGTGGTCTGCAAAATTAAGGATTGTTGCGGAAGTCTGCCAACCTTAGAAGGTTGGTTGTGGTTGAGGTTGGTTTGGAATCAATGGATCCAACCACTTGCAAAAGAATGTCGGCTGCATGGCCCGCAGCGCTGGTCGAACTGTACATTTTGGTCGGTATTTTGTGGCCTTGACAGCCGCTCTGGACTTAGGAATGCCAGCAGGAGTTTATCAGGGCTACCATGCCCAGAGCGACTGGGAAGCAGCTTCTTTGTTGAACGGAACTTCTGCATTGAAATTGTTTTGTCCAGATGTCAGCGCACTTTTTTTCTATATTCGCTGCCGTTGAGCAATTTTGATAGAAAGCTCTCCAGACCTAGCAGAAGCAGCAGAAGAAGATTAATTTCAGCGTATCCCACAACTTGTCATTTGTATATCTCCCCAACCTCAATACCAAGGAAAATATCAAGGTTGTTTTTAGGACGCACATGTTTCACACGTGTCCTTTTCACAGGCTGCGAATCTCATGGAAGACCTGGTGCAGGATCCCGATGAGGAAGACTCTAACATGAACCTGGATGAGTATGAGGCCCCACCACTATTTTTCAGACTCCTCATGTCGAAACACAGGGTCCACTGAGAATGATCCAGGGCTGAAAGGTGCTGACCAAGAGTGCTTCCAGCTGTTGGAGCAGTTGAAAGCCCGCGGTGACTGATGCTTTGACGTTCCGTTGGCAAGTTTCGCTGACAATTTTTTGGTTCTCTGTGATCATGACGTCCACGGAGCTCGGAAAATCTAACGAGCGGAAACCTAACGAACGTCCAACGAGCGATGTTCTATCTTTTCTTTCCTTTTCTACTCCCACTACCGAGTGGATAAAATTGGAGCGTTTATTCTGGATATTTTTGATGCACTGACCCCATTTTATCCACCCCCAAAAAAAATATCCACTCCTTACTTGGGTTGATTTTTTTGGAGGACAGACCCCCTGGATAGGTTGCTGGCAGGCTGGCACACAGATAAAGTCCAGGCACTGACCCCTGCAATTTTATCCACTCAGTACGGCCCCCTATAGCTAAGCCTCCCACTCTGACGCCTAATCTCGTGGAAACTTCGCAAGCCTCTGTAGTGGAAATGCGGATACCTAGGCAGCATGCCCCAGTGACAGACTTCCAGGCGAGCACCTCAGTCCTTGTCCTGGGGCAAATGGAAGACGTATATTCGCGGACGTCGTAATTGACGTACTAGCAAGGTCGATGAAAGCAAAGAGCTTGCAGTTGTCACAGGCAAGAGGGCCTGAAAAATTAATATCTGGCACTGGTAGACCTCCATGCATTCTCGAACCACAAGGTTGAAGCATGTAAGGGTATTCCACATTGGATCTTGAAGGGGTTCTTGGGTGTCTGGACGCAATGGATCTACTTCACATCCGAACACGTCTGACGTGGTGACAGTGTCCAGGTAGTCCACAACGCCGTCTTCCAGTTCAGCGAGCTGATTATGCTGCGACATTTTGGTTGACACGCAAATCTCATTTCCTGCACACGTGATCAGTGTGAGCTGACAGGCCATGGAGTCTTCAGCTTTGGTGGATGTGCTGGGTCGTGAGCACTGTTCCTGCCATGTATCACGCCTCCCAAGTTTCTGACTTTTGAGCCGAAGTTGCATGATAGACATGTTGCTTTTGCATGCAAAAGCGGCCAAGCTGGCACTAGGGCTGAGTTGGCAGTCCACGGGAAGGGGCTTGGCAAAGAGATGTGTGGTTGCTCTCCAGTCTTGGCACTTGCTACGGACGATGACCTGGGCACACCGCCCACACGGCGTCCGTACTCGTGGAAAAAAAATCTTGGCACTTGCTACGGACTTGGCACTGTTCAGGATTCTACGAAAATTGTGGGAGAGTGAGGGCAATAGGGCAAGAACTAAGGTTCTCGCCTGGATCCTGTAAATGCTAATTGGCTGCACATCGCTTCGACATATTGGTGCGTTGCAAACAGTGCGGTGGTTCATTGGAGCTCCTTTCTGCCACCTCCCTTGGCACATTCCTCAGTGGTCTCTGGTGGAAACTTTTGTCATTTCAGCCTGCGAGAATTCTCATGTGCGTCCCCTCCAGTTTAGAAGCCATTGCAATGCCAAAAGGGGTCTTTGTAGCGCTGCGTGCTGACCATGATCAGTGCAATCTCCACCTTGTGCATGACATGCATGTCATTTCGCATCGGCTCGCTTGCACATTAGTCGCTGAGTCTGCCAAGTGGATGGATTCCAGTGAACATAAATGCTGGCACTGGTTGCACTGCTCCCTCCCGACAGGCAGGTGCAATCTCACGGACCTCAAGCTCAGTCACCCTCCGCAGCTTTGGCTCAAGCAACTGGCTCAAGCTGTGGTTGAGTGAGAGTGCTTGGGTCGTGTGAAAACACAGTAGCAACGCGCCCTTTTCGGTCCCGCTCCTTGAGCCAAAGTTACAGTCATTTATAGACTGTCTTCCAAAGTCCTCTTAGCTTCTTAGAAGCACATCCACTCTTATTAACAGAGTACATGACTGTACCTAGTCATCTCCAGACTACACAAACTGCAAGGAAACTACATCAAACAGTCTCCAAAGACATCGTGCTCTACCAAAAGGTTCTCTAACCAGTTCCTAGCCACAAGTTGCCACTTCAAACATCCTCCTGCTAAGGTGGTCAAAGGTCAAACACAAAAAGGGCACAGACCTCCACTCAGCTCCAACCCCAAGCACTCCAAAAACGAAAATTCCCTAAAGAGGCAAGCACTAGGTGAGCCATACGCTGTACACATGCGCTGTACGCTACTTTTCACACCCCTTCTTGGGTCGCCTAGGGCTACCTGCCTTCTTCTGTCTTCTTCTCTTCTTCTATTCGTTTTGTTGGAGCAACTCAGGATCAGACATCAACTAAGATCCAAACTTCTGCCCTCAAAGGTGATCTCAATGACATCAATCCAGAGATAAACTCGAGCTCAATCCAAGCAAAACTGCAGATCCATCCAAGAACCAACTTCGACCTCCAACCAACACGCAATCAACCAAGGTCAAACCTGTAAAGAGGATCTCTCAGAGGTGGGTCATGGAATCTCATGGGTTGATTCCTTATTTCAATGACCCTTTTAAACCTCATCATCGACACTCATGCTCGTACAACAAACTGCCCTCTGCCTCCAGTTCGGGTGATGGATCTTCCAGATCCGACGAATGTGGACCCTCAGGATCATAATGGGGCAACTCCCCGGGTGGTTCGTCAACCTCGGAACCTGCCTCAACCATCGGACCTTCGGCCTCCGCCTCTGGGCCTATCTGATCGGGAATGGAAGGAGTGTACTCCTCCATGTCATCACTCTCCAAATCAACGGTTTTTGGTAAACCACGGAACATCCGGGCACGCTCGGACTCCTCCGAAACTCCCGGAAACTCTTCTTGGTTCCTCCAGAACGCAAGCACTCAAAAACCTCCGAAAAAGCCTCCGAATCTCCGTCCGGACCCTCGGAAAAGAAGTCAAAATCCACATTTTGGCTTTCACAACTCACAAAAGATGAGTTCGACTCAACCTCCCAGGTGTCAAACTCAGAAGTGAAAGAGGCAAAATCCTCCTGATCATCCTCCTTCTTCTCAAACGTATTGGGCTCATGTTCACAAAACAAAGTTGGAAAAGAAACACGGTCGTCACCACAAAAACAAAACATACGACACACATACGAAAAAGACTGCAATGAACCAGGCTGAGCGCACATCACTTCTCGACCCTTAGTTCAGGACTTTCCTGCCTTAGAAACTGGTCGTGCCTGTTCTGCCAGTGCTTCGTTTGTCGTTTCACCATCGTTTCTGTACTGTGTATGTGGTGTGGCTGCGCTTTCAGTGCTTCGCGCTTCTGTGGTCTGGGTCTCTCTGATCTCTCCTTCTGGGTTCGATGGGGGACCTTTCACCTCATCAACCTCCATGGGTGCTGGACCTTTGGTCGCTTTGCCACTGCGTCTGGTCTGACCTGACTTGGAAATCAAATCAACCTTCAACCACCAAGCACGTTCACAGATCCTAAGTGGAAAATTGGTCCCCTGACCATTCTCCAGGACACTTTCTCGTGCCCCTCCTAACCTAGTCAGCCATCCTGTCTCTGACAAGGCGTTGCAGCTGATCACATTCAACTTGATTCGAGCTACCACTACTCGCTGCATGACTACAGGGGTCTTACCTACCTTGAACTCTAGGTCTACCATCCCTGCAGTGGGAAGGATATGATCCCCTGCACCTCTCAGGATTGGAGCTGAGCCTGGGTACCAATGCTTCACCTTGTAAAGCTTCAACCATTCCTCAGCAACAATGTGAGTGGCACCTGAATCTACAAGCCAATGGGTCTTGAGATCCTTTCCCAAGCCCTGAGTACTCAACAAGTACTCAAGAGGATGAGTGACGCTATGAACTACAGGCTCACTTGTGGAGGCACCTACCCCTTCAGTACTCTCAGTGCTCTTCGCAAGAACCATCATTGCGACTTGGTCTTGGTCTTCATCGACCTCGGGGTCTTCACATTCCTCCTCAGCTTCACATTCCTCACCGTCCTCCATCTCTCGAAGCTTGTTTCTCTTTCCTTTGCCCTTGCCCTTGCTCTTCCCTTTTCCTTTTCCCTTGCCTTTAGGAGGAAAAAGCTTCTTGCCAGGGTCTGCTCCAGTCTCCTTCTTGGATGGTCGCTTGTCAGGACGCTTCTCCCAACAATCTGAGCCCACATGGCCACTCTTCCCGTGAAAGTTTGACACACAAACTCTTGGCCAAAAAACAAAAGCTCTCGTGCTCAAAACACCTAGTCAGTCAAGTGTCTCAACGACCCGAGTCGAAAACGGAGGAAAAAGCAGGCAAAAGACACGCACACTTTTCGCCGCACACTTGAGCCAAAGTGACGAACGTTCTCCAAGATTCACAAATGTTCTCGGGACATTTGTGGACATGCAAAACCCCACTCAAAACACTTCAACGCTTCACAAAAGTTCTCAAAACAGTTGGAAACAACTAAGAGCATAGTTCAAACATCTTCGGGTGTTCTCGGACACCTCATAAACAAACTACAAACATATGGAAACATTGAAAGGGATCTTTCAATGTCCTCAAAAGGTAACGAACGTCATTCAAACAAGTCGTAGGGAGTCTCCGCTCCTCAAAAACTTTCTTTGCGGTCTCTAAACAAGTGGTATGGAGTCTTCGCTCCTCAGTACTGTTGTACTATGAATTCTCACACCCCCTTTCGAAGCTCACATGCCACTTTGGACAGTGGTTCCAGTAAACGCTTGCGCTCACAGCAGCTACACAAACCAAAAGAGGTGACTTTCTTGCCTCGCAAGTATTGGCATTGACGGTCAAGGTGGAACTTGGACCCAGTCGAAGTCGCAAAAACCTCAAGTACCTGGTTCACTGCACTCATCTTCGTCCACTCGGAGGTTGCAGTGTTCTCAACACCACTCGGCCGGCCAGCAGCGCTCGAAGCAGCAGCACCTGAAGAAGCAGCAGCATTCAAAGAGACTCTCTCTCTCATCAGCGGCTCTTGCTTCTCTGGCTTCTCGGCCATCATCCTCTTCTGTCCCAAAAGGCTCTTCGCCGTCCCAGCAGCGCCAAAAAGCTTCACAAGCAAGCTCAGCGCGCCATACAACGCCAGCGCAGCGATGCAGCTGCCCTCAAACGACAACATGGCTTCCCGCGCGGACGCCCCACACACACACAAACGGCTGCGGAAAAGTTCGGCGAAGAAAAGTTCTCCGAAAGGAAAGAAAAAGTAGGAAGGGAGAGGCGACTCAAGGGTCATTTCGACACGAGCACGGCTTTCCTTCCTGAAAAGCAGTCTCACTGTTCAACTGATTTCAAGTCTCTCGAAGTAAAGTGGTCACACAGACCGAGACAAGACTTATGAAGTACCTTTGTCAAAAACCTGATCCAATTTCATCGACTCTCGACAGACTCTACAGTAGACAGTCTAAAAGTCTAAAAGGTGTGAACAGTCACAGTTCAAAAGCTATTCAACTCCAACGGCATCTCATGCACACACATTTTCACATCGATCATCGGAAGCTTCATCCGCAAGTGTCATCAAGCTATCTGTGCAGCAACAAAAGAAAAGGCCCTCAGCCACTCGGTTGCTCAGCTTGAGTTCTCACCTCAAGGATGCACAGATGCAAAAACTCTTCACAAGAAAACGAGCAAATTTCATCGAGTACCTTTCAGTATCATGGTAATCAACTGCATTGAATGGTGCGTGTCTCTCAAGACAACGACATTGAAAG